CGATGCAAATCTTTAGATAGTGTTTAATTTTAAAAAATTGGTGGATTATTCCAAAAGCTACATGATCTGCTAGTTCATTATAAATATCCTANGGTGGATTATTCCAAAAGCTACATGATCTGCTAGTTCATTATAAATATCCTAATTAAGATAAAGTATGTCGAATGAAAAAGGGATTATTAAAAAATATTATTTCTTATAAAAATATAATGTTGATCCATACACTTTTAAATATGTCATAGCATTATAAAGTTAAAAATGTAAAAAATAAAATCGAGAATTTTCACATAATAATAACATTTGGTAACCAATTTCACCGTGAAGATAAAATAAAGTCCGAAATTTTTTTTTGCATAATAAAGAACATTACATTAGCTTCAATTTAAGATATATATAAAAGTGTCAGACCTTCTGGAACATTTTCAAAAGTTAAGTTGAAAAAGTTAATTTTTTGTGAAAAAGTTGTCATTTTAAATCCCCCCTTGTGGGTAGGTTAAGGGTTTTTATTATTTTTATTATCAATATTATTGAAAAAGTTATGGCACTTTTAAGTAAAAAAAAATTGAAAAAATTTCGAAAATTAGCGATTTTTATATTCGTAATTTTTTTGGAGGTTTCCCCCATTTACGGGGAACGAGGGAATTTTTTTCAATTTTTGAGGGTAATGTCTTCGACTAGATACAATTTGTGATCTTTTGACGTATCATTGAAAGAAATCGGTTCGGTGAGAGCTGAGAAAAAGTGGTAACAGACACAAAAAAAAAAAAACACATCTTAGTAAAACCAATACCTTCTCAGCTTCGCATCGAAGCTAAAATATCACATAATAAAATAATTTTCATATGAATAAGAAATTTCTTCAAACGTGAGTAGATTATAATGATGGGGTCCTTGATATTCATTGAAGTTATTAAATATTATAATATTTCTCATATAGAAATGAGATAAAAATCAAATGAATTAAAAACTCAAAAACTTCGGTAAGGTATTTTAAGATAAAATAAAATACAATATCGAGAATTTTAACTCAAAAATAACATATTTTTGAATATGGTAGCCATTTTCACCATAAGACATATTAAAGTTCTAATTTTTTTTTTCATAATAAAGTATATTACATAAGCTTTAATATTATTTATATGCTAACAAGGGGGGATAAAAAATGGCAACTATTGCACAAAAATTTAACTTTATAAAATGATCCAAAAATCCCGACCCTTATATTTATATATACATCTTAAATTAAACCTTATGTTAATTATTAAAAAAAAATTCATCTCTGGAGTTGTCTTAGTGGTGAAAACGGTCATCAAAGTTAAGAAAAATATACGATTTTTTTTTGTGAAAATTAAAAAAAAGTTAATAAATTGTTTCGCAAAAACTTATGTGTAAACTGCATTGGTGCATTATGAAAGGTATGGTTAGTGTAGTATACCATTTTAATACATGTAATATTCAATACTTATACCTAATAAAATATATCACCAAATCAGTGTTCCACCGTGAATAAGATAAGTAATAAAATAATACCCTTACACAAGATTTAACTACCCTCACATTAATAACATTAACCAATCAAATACAACAAAAAATATTTCAAGAATCTCATCACAGATTGCTAAACCAGTTTTGCGGGCTATAAAAAGGCCATTTTCCTCCAAATTCGGGTGGTTTTTGTACAGGTTATGTACGGTTTCTGAACATCCTTTTCGCTGACACTGGGACGCCTTGCCATTCTGTCTGCGTCTCTACGGCTTTCTGGAACTCAACCAAAATACACAAATTGAATGTACGTAAGTGTATGTTTCGTTCATAGTTACATTTTTATATCAAATATGCACGATTTTTTGCTCCTTTCGTAATCACTGGGATTTACAAAAAATATTATACATCTTATTTTCGGTCGAATACTTTTGGTGATATAAATATTCTAACACATATAAAATATTGGTATTTATTTATTTCTTTTTATCTACATATATATAAATACACTGAAAAATTCATGACTAGATTGCATTGTGTTCTATTACTTATTGAATCGCTACAACCTGGCTGGACAGAATACTAGCACAATAACATCATAGTTAATATTCCAACTAATTATAAGCATTCTCCAAAGTGTCTCTCCATTTATCAACTAGCCAGTCTAATCTCTGCCACATTGCGGGCCATCGGAGTGTAGAATAATGATTTTGAAATATTGAACTAGAAGTAGCTAGGAAAAGTGACAGAATTATAGTCCTAAACTNTGAACTAGAAGTAGCTAGGAAAAGTGACAGAATTATTGTCCTAAACTAATTTTCGAGAAAAATGTTTTGAATGTAGTAAGTACCACAAATAGGATGTAATTAAATAGACAAGGAAGTGTTTTGGAGAGTGATGGATAAGGTTATGTAAAGAATACCTAACATAAAAAGAAGAATAGATATTGTATTTCAAATAGATAATTTGCTTATTTTATCAATTTAAATGATTATACCAACCATAAGTGACATTGCAAAAATATAACTGATTAAACATAAATAGTAATCAAATATTTTACAATGCACTTTAATTACATTGGTTCAATTATTTTTTAATAACAAATCTTAGACAAAAACTAATAGGTTCTACCTTATGGACATTGTATAACAGAACATTGTGGTCTTTGAATGGCGAGATGATTAAGTAAAAAAAAGATTTTGGATTGTAAATTTAATTTCTTTAAATATTCTTCTCCAACTGCAGATCAAGTTCTCTTAGTTTCACTAGAACACAACACAAAAGTCATTGAAAATTCGATTGAACATTTTTTGACCCCGTCTAAGACATAAGATCGAATTATGCCTATGAAAGAAAAGATAACAAAATTCTTCTATAAAATACAACACATATATATTTTTGATTATTATTTATATTTGTCCAACTATAACGAGTCTCCACTGTTTCGCAACTCCACTGTGCTGCGGCTTTTATGTTAAATAAATCAACATTTTCTATAATTAAGATCATGTTTTTGTACTTTATTTTATCATCATTTAATTTTGTTAAAATAAAAAAGCAAAAATATATCCAAAGTTGTATGTACATATTAAAGTTACCAGACCAACTATCTATAGTTACACGAATTTTTTATGTAAATAACTATATGAATAAATATTTAAATTAATAAAAAAACATTCGTATCATTTATTTATATTTTAAGAAGAAAAATCAATTTAAATAATTTTCCATCATTATTATTAGAATACATTTTCAGAATTAAAGATTTTTCGATCAAAAGTATATTAAAATAGATAATTTGTGAAATATAACATAAAACAAAATACCAACTAAAATTTTTAATTTTCAATTAAGTATAATTGATTTATTTAGTTTGAATTAAACTATTTAAAATTATCCAAATAAGTTATTATTCAAATTATTTAAAATTAGAATTATTTAAATAAAACTTGACTTCAATAAAATGTATTAATAAAGTAAATTTAATCTATTAAAATAAAATTTAATATAGTTGCATCCAGTGTGTTTCAATGAAATTATTTAAATTTTAAATATTTTTTCTCTATAGTATATCAAACATTTTTATTCTAACTTTTTGTATTCAGCTGTATGCATCTAATATGCACTTATCCAATAAAAAATAATTCTATTAACATAAATAAATCGATTAAGAGACACACATACTTAAAATACTATCACATTGAGATTATTTTTTAGTTTTTAACTACAAAAGTGATAAAATAATATTTTATTATCCAATATATATATATAGTTTTTTCATATATTCATTTATTATAACTATTACTAGTCAAAAAATAGAAACATGATTAAAGCCTAATGACAAAAAAAAATCAAGACCCAATTTTAATTTTTCGATAACCAAAAAATATTTCTTATTTTGATGTTTTTTTTTAAGTAATCAAAATAAAGTTTTAATACGACGAAAATTAATCAATAATTTTTTCTTTTAGCAATTCAATATAAAAATTCAAATGATGAACAAAAATGGCAATTAAAAGAAGATACGACTAGAATGGCTGCAGAAAATGGAAACTTAGAATTGTTAAAATATGCATTTGAAAATGGATGTCAATGGGATGAAAGAACAACAGAAGCTGCAGCAAATAATGGTCATTTAGAATGTTTAAAATATGCTTATGAAAATGGCTGTAAATGGAATCAATTCAATATTGCGACAAATGCGATAAGAAAGAGTAATCTAGAAATATTAAAATATGTTCACAAAAATGGATACGAATTTGATGAATACACAACTAATATAGCTCCAACGGGTAATATAGAAATTTTAAAATATGTTCTTAAAAATGGATATCCTTGTAATGAAAACACAGCTTATAGTGCTGCCATAAATGGCAATCTAGAAAATTTTAAATATTTACATGACAATGATTGTCCTTGGAATGAAAGGACAACTTGTGGGGCTGTCATAAGTGGTAATTTAAATATTTTAAAATATGCACACGAGAATGAATGTCCGTGGGATGAAAATACAACAGACACCGCTGTTTCTATCGGCAGTTTAGAATGCTTAAAATATGCTATTGAAAACAATTGTCCATGGGATCAATCCAAAATTAGCAGAACTGCGATTTTTAGAGGTAATCTAGAACTATTAAAATATATTAATAAGACTGGACACCAATTCGATGAATCCACAATTAACTTTGCTGCATCAGGTTATCATGAAATTTTAAAATATGTCCTTAAAAATGGATATCCGTGTGATGAAAACACAACTTTAAGTGCTGCCTCAAGTGGTAATCTAGAAAATTTAAAATATTTACATGAAAAAGGATGTCCATGGGATACAAGAATAACTTACGAGGCTGCCCTTCATGGTAATTTAAGTATTTTAAAATATGCACATGAAAATGAATGTCCGTGGGATGAAAGCACAACAAAAGCAGCTGCTTCTACCGGACATTTAGAATGTTTAAAATATGCACATGAAAATGGCTGTAAATGGAATGAACATATACCTGTTGAGGCTGCCAGAAGAGGAGATTTAACTATGTTAAAGTATGCACATGAAAATAAATGTCCTTGGAATGAAAACACCATAGATGCAGCTGCTCTAAGCAGTAATTTTGAATGCTTAAAATATGCTTTTGAAAATGGCTGTAAATGGCATAAACGTACAACAGCTGCGGCTGCCTTAGTTGGTAATTTAAATATTTTAAAATATGCATATGATAACGAATGTCCATGGCATAATAAAACAACAGAAGCAGCTGCTTCTAGGGGTCATTTTGAGTGCTTAAAATATGCTTATGAAAAAGGCTGTAAATGGAGTAAACGTACAACTACTGCAGCTGCTCATAATGGTGATTTAAATATTTTAAAATATGTACATGAAAATGAATGTCCGTGGCATGAATACACAATAGAAGCAGCAGCTTCTACTGGTAAATTTGAATGTTTGAAATATGCTTATGAAAATGGCTGTAAATGGGATAAACGTACACCAACTGCGGCTGCTAGAATAGGTGATTTAAAGATATTAAAATATGCCCATGAAAATGAATGTCCGTGGGATGAAAGCACAACAGAAGCAGCTGCTTCAAGTGGTAATTTAGAATGCTTACAATATGCTTTTGAAAATGGCTGTAAATGGGATGAACGTACACCAACTGCGGCTGCTAGAATAGGTGATTTAAAGATATTAAAATATGCCCATGAAAATGAATGTCCGTGGGATGAAAGCACAACAGAAGCAGCTGCTTCAAGTGGTAATTTAGAATGCTTACAATATGCTTTTGAAAATGGCTGTAAATGGGATGAACGTACACCAACTGCGGCTGCTAGAATAGGTGATTTAAAGATATTAAAATATGCCCATGAAAATGAATGTCCGTGGGATGAAAGCACAACAGAAGCAGCTGCTTCAAGTGGTAATTTAGAATGCTTACAATATGCTTTTGAAAATGGTTGTAAATGCGATCAATTTACAATTACTGCAGCAGCCAGAACAGGTAATTTAAAAATATTAAAATATGTACATGAAAATAAATGTCCTTGTGATGAAAGCACAACAGAAGCAGCGGCTTCTAGCGGTAATTTAGAATGTCTAAAATATGCTTATGAAAATGGATGTAAATGGGATAAACGTACGACTACTGCTGCTGCCAAAAGAGGTAATCTTAAAATGTTAAAATATGCAAATGAAAATGAATGCCCGTGGGATGAAAGCACAACAGAAGCAGCTGCCTATAGTGGTTCTCTAAAATGTTTAAAGTATGCTTATGAAAATGATTGTAAATGGGATGAACGTACTACTACTGCGGCAGCCAGAAGAGGTGATTTAAATTTATTAAAATATGCACATGAAAATGAATGCCCGTGGGATGAAAGCACAACAGAAGCAGCTGCCTCTAGTGGTTCTCTAAAATGTTTAAAGTATGCTTATGAAAATGATTGTAAATGGGATGAACGTACTACTACTGCGGCAGCCAGAAGAGGTGATTTAATTATTTTAAAATATGCACATGACAATAAATGTCCTTGGGATGAAAGCACAACAGAAGCAGCTGCTTCTAGTGGTAATCTAGAATGCTTAAAATATGCTTATGAAAATGGCTGTAAATGGAATGTACGTACACCTACTACTGCTGCCAAAAGAGATGATTTAAATATGTTAAAATTTGCCCATGAAAATGAATGTCCATGGGATGAAAGCACAACAGAAGCAGCTGTTTTTAGCGGTAATTTAGAATGTTTAAAATATGCTTATGAAAATGGCTGTAAATGGTATGAAGGCACAACTCGATTTGCTGCAGCAAGTGGCTTTTTGGACTTTTTGAAATATTCTCATGAAAAGGGATGTTATTTTGACAAAGATACAATAGTGGCAGCAGCTTTGCATGGTAATTTAGATTGTCTAATATATGCCCGTAAACATGGATGTGATTGGGTGGAAGGTACAATGAGAGGGGCTGCAGCAAAGGGCAATTTAGACTGCTTAAAATATGCTCATGAAAATGGGTGTTTATGGGACGAAGGCACAACGAGGGAAGCAGCTGCGAATAATAATATTAACTGTTTGATATTTGCACATAATAATGGGTGTAAATGGGACGAAGGAACTATGAGTGGAGCTGCTGCAAATGGAAATTTAAACTGCCTAAAATATGTTCATGAAAATGATTGTGAGTGGGACGAAGGCACAACTAGACTTGCTGCTGCCAATGGTCAATTTCGTTGCTTAAAATATGCTTATGAAAATAATTGTTCATGGAGTATAGGTACCATTTCTGAAGCTGCTCGAAATGGATATACAGATATAATCAACTATGCTACTAAAAATGGTTGTCCTAATTAATATTCTGTTGAAATATACAAATTTTTATTATAATTATTCATGGCAAATTATTTTTAAAAAAATTAACAGGAACTAATTTATTCAATGTGTATATTGTATCTAAAAAACACTGTTTAAAAAAAAAAATTTACAATATTTTTAATTTTTAAATAAAAGTTTTTGTATAAATTGTTTGTACTGATAATAGTTTTTAGAAAAAATCTCGAAAAAAAAGCTACAATTTATGTATATCAGTTTCGACATAAAATGTTTAATAAAAATAAATAATTATTTTAATTTAATAATATGCTTTTCCTTTTTCTTAATTTAAAAATAAATAAGTAATTTTTATACTTTCAGAAAGATTCTTATTTAAATCAAAATATTTTTAAAATACTATTATAGGAGCCCAATTTTTTTCTTCATCATCTTTCATGGTCAATCCATATTAAGGGGTAATATCCACCAAATTTTTTTTTTTTTTTTTCATTTTTTTTTATTAGTTTAAATCATTCTAAAACAATCCTAGAATCAAAATCTTCAGCGCCCAAGTACTGATCTAAACTCAAACTTCGTTTAAATCAAACTTTTCCGAACAACTTTTATGCTCCAGAATCACATTTTTCGCTTATTTTAGCGATTCTCTTTTTTTTTTTAATTTCGCGGCTTTGTAATTAGTAGAAGTTACCTATGATCGATATCGTGTTTTAAATTTGAAGTATAGATTTTCAATCATTACAGCGTCTGTACAGCACGTGTTTACTCACAATTTCCCTTTGTTTAGTCGATCAGCCGTTCTAGTTGTGTACGTTCTTAGTTTGAGTTTTGCTATACTTTTTAACTGTGAATTATATTCAAAAATACTTAATTATTAGTAAAAAGTTCTACAGCGGCCACATAGGCAGTAAAACAAGAATTATCAGAACAACCCGTAGTAAAATTAGTAACCGACAACCGCCTAACCGCCATGCGTTCGAAGGCTATTCGGAGTACGTTAGTACCTTGGCGAAAAAATTAAAAACTTCTGATTTAAATCGTGATCGTGAAGCTTCTCGAAAGGGATATACTGATATAATTAACTATGCTTCTAAAAATGGTTGTCGTAATTAATGTTCTGTTGTAATATCCTAATTTTTATTATAGTTATTCATCGCAAATTATTTTTGAAAAAATGAACTGGAATTAAATTAACGAAGGTGTAAATTGTATCTAAAAATAACTATTTAAAAAAAAAATTTCCAATATTTTTAATTTTTAGTTTTAGTAAAATCTCGAAAAAAAACAAGTAAAAGTAATATATATGAGTTTCCACATAAAATGTTTAATAAATATAAATAATTATTTTAATTTAACAATATGTTTTATCTTTTTCTTAATTTAAAAATAAAGATATATATTTTATGCTTTAAGAAAGTTTTATATTTAAAACAGAATATTTCCTAAATACTATTAAAGAAGCTCTATTTTTTTTATTTGTCTTCTTTCAACGTGAATCCATATTAAAGAATTTAAACTGGTAGCACGACCATTTAAATCTTGACTCGGCATTATGCCCTGGTCTAAATTGGCATTCACTGGTACCTTTCTCAATATCAGCCGTTCACCTTTCATTATGACAATCAGTGGTCTTAGTTCATCTACCCACTCTTGACACTGTGACAAGTTTTCTGCTGACTATGTATAGCTGATTATACGTTCTGTTTCATTCAGATAATCACCTTATTTTTTATTTTTTTGTTGTTTTGTGACGAATAAGCTGTGAAAAAAATCTGTTTCTTTTTATTCTTTTACAATTATTAAATTGATTGTGAAGAATATATTTACATATTTACATTTTCTATTGTGAGGTTGTTAATACATTCGAACAACAAAAAAAATCCCTATCGCATCGTCTTTTATTCTTTGTTTATCACAAGTAGTTTTAACAAATTTGAAAGATTTATATTTACAATTGACTTGAGTAACGTGGATATTATATTATTAACTTTAAAAGATTCCTTTTCGGGGAGCCAGTTAATAAGGTATCCAATAGGACTGAAAACACCAACTTAAACTGATATCGAGAGAGACACGGGCGAGTGCCAGCCTAGAGCAAAAGGCGGTGCCGTGTCATAGTACGAGTGCATAATAAGATAATTTGCTAATTCCCTAGGCCTTTTATATTAAATTCGTTGGTAAGTAGATGAATAAAGGTTATTTTTCATTAAAATTTATATATTGTGTCCTAATGTCTGTTTAGCATCACATATTCGCTTATAATAATTATAAAGACTGACATTAATGTAAACATTGCTCGAAATGAGAGATATATTTGTAATAAACAATTAAATATTTTTCAGTCAGAAAAGTATTTAAAATTGATAAAATTTTAATTGAAAAATTATTCCAGAACTTTCTCAAATATTGTTGTAACTTCCATATTATTTTTATATTTGTCATTTTTAACCTGATAAGTTAAAATTGGATAAAACAACATAAATATTTTTGATTCAAGACTATCTTTAAAGAATTGCTTAGTCAAAATTATGTTTGGAGAGAGCAGTCTTTATTGTAAATAGAAAGGGATTTTGATGAGATAACCATTAAAAATCAAGTAAATATTGTTCTTAAGAATAATATTAATTAATAATAAAATACCCCTCTCAAAAAAAATTATATTGAAAATTCCACTGAATAGATAGATTTTGTTATTTATAATATTAAAACACAGTGTAGGGATTAACAAAAATGTAAAATAACATGTCACAATGTATACGTTTATATGTTTTATGTTAGATGTACATTGCAGTACGATAACACTCCGTGTATTATTTTTATATCGCATTGTCCGTCAATCCAATAACACTTAATATTTGTACTCTTATTTTTATGTATATATACATCATATTTCAATGTTAAAAAATTATTAATTATTGTAAATTTTAATTGTAGTATTTTTGTAATAAAAATAAACCTCAAAACACTACAACAGTAATTTAGAAATGTTATACAACAAATACCCATACACAATTAGTATTTTTTGTGACATTTTGAGTTTTATTTCAATATTTTTAATATATAATTTAATTTTAAATATTAGCCACATATTAAATATAAATTTTCGATAGCAGGCGACTCCAATGTGAGCGACTTCATTGGCTACTAATGTAAGTATTTTATATATGTATATTTTCTAAACTATTTACTTATTTTAATTTTTTTTTTTTTTTTACAGATTGTAAATTTTATAAATAAAAGAAAAAATATAATCAGCATAATATAATATAATTTAATAATTTAATAATAATTTATAAATATTATAAATACTGTTGATATGAAAATGTGAAAAAACTCCTATAACTTTGAAATTACTAGTAGCAACACATTGGATCAGAAATAATGCATTCAGAACGCTTATTAAAATATAAAAAATATCTAAAGCAGGTAGTAATAATAGACAAAACAGTAAATATACTAAGTAAGGAATCAACAAAAAGTATATTAGACAACACAATATTTTGGGTGCATGTTGAGACTGGCTACAGTTTTTTAAAGACCCTATCAGAGTGGATTACTATTTTAGAAACTGAAAAATGTAATAGTATTTAAAAATATTCAAAATCCAACTATAATAAAAATGGAAAAATATTTATTGTCACAGAAATTAGAAAACGGAATTTGAATGGCAATTAAGAAAATTCATTTAGCAGGCCATCTTTTAGACCCGAGAAAAAAAGGCTAATTTTTAAAAAAACAATGAATGTATTGATACTGCAAAATTTATATGTAACTTGGCAGAACATTTGCAACTCAATATTCTAGATATAATGTCTGAACTTACTGAATATTGTTCAAGTAGTAGTTTATGGTCTAGAGCAGTGGTCGGCAACCTTTTTTAATTCTCGGGCCACATTTACAAATTAAAAAGAGTTCGCGGGCCAGATAAAAAAAAAAATTTATAATTACATTATTTATTATGCAAAAAAATACTATCTAAAACTTAAAATAATAATATGACTTATATAAAATACCCGTACCAAAAACGCAACGTTCAATTATATTTATACAAAATGATATTCAATTAAATTAGTCCATTTAGAATTTAAAGCGGGCCGTATTCAATAGCCACGCGGGCCGGATACGGCCCGCGGGCCGCCGGTTGCCGACCACTGGTCTAAGGCATTTGTTTGAGACATTTTAAAAACTAGTAGTGATGGAACACAATCTGGTGCTATAACATAGTGGAAGGGTATTTGTTTTTTTATTTGCTAAAATTTCAGCCATTGCAATTGCTATATTAGAATGCTTCCTCAAATCTGCATTAAAAGAGCCCTGATTCTCTACTTAAAGTTTTGTTCATACAGCTCAAATAAATAGATTATCAAATGACCGAGCATCCAAACTAGTGTAAATTAAACATAATTTAAAAATTTAAAAGGATTTTAAGGTTAAAAATATTAAAAACTTAAACGGTTAATGTGATGATCAATACTATAATGACCTCACTGACTCTAATTCTTATGATGAAAATATAAGAGTAGAAGGCGGTTTAAGTATATTTGAGTCTATTTCAGTCTATTTCAGATAACGAGAATGAAATAGATGAACTATTTAATGATGTCATGGCATATATAAATTAAAGTCATAAAATACTTATTACTTTATAAAAATTAATTTTTAGTACTTTGTGATACTAAAATTAATAATGTTTAAGGTACAAATGTATTTCTTTTTAATACAACAAGTATTAATACAATTTTAGATTTTAAGATTACTATAAGATGTTATATTTTAAAATTTTAAAGTTTATTTAAAGGATAGAATTTTTTTTTTTTTGTTAAAAAAGGTGAATTTTATTATTTTATTTATTATGCTATTAAAAATATTAAGTTTTTAATGTGATTAAATTACAATTGTGTATTTATATTTATTCAGAAGATCAGAGTTCTCAAAACTTTAACGTCATGGGCGNATTTATACTTATTCAGAAGGGTAGAGTTCTCAGAACTTTAACATCATGGGTAATGGTATCTGATTTCAAATTGAATATAGTTGCTACTTTTTTAATACATAATAAATTATCCTCTAGAAATGAATTTAGGATAGAGATGTATCTTACTCCAGTACTTGAACTAATTACTCCCTGAACATTTTGTTTTCATCAATTTTGCTAAAGGTTTTTTCAATAAGTATTCTTTTATTTATTGAATTTTATGAAAAATAACCTCTCTAAAGTTTATTCAGTGTTCAATTTTCCTAATTTTAAAGTG